TGTGTGCAAGCATGTGTGTGCATATGTGTGTGTGTGTGTGTGTGTGTGTGTGTGTGTGTGTGTGTGTGTGTGTGTGTGTGTGTGTGTGTGTGTGTGCATGTGTGTGTGTGCATGTGTGTGTGTGCATGTGTGTGTGTGTGTGTGTGTGTGTGTGTGTGTGTGTGTGTGTGTGTGTGTGTGTGTGTGTGTGTGTGTGTGTGTGTGTGTGTGTGTGTGTGTGTGTGTGTGTGTTTGTGTGTGTGCAAACATATGCATGTGTATTTCTTTCCTCTATTTTAACTCTTTGTAGCTGTATCTGAATGCAATTACAAATAAACATACAGACATGGAAAAAACATCTAGTTGTACAGACACACACACAAACACATATTGCAGTGTTGTTTCCAATGAAATCCCTGGAAAATGAAACAAATGGCATATGGCCAAAATACACGACTCGTTTTTGTATGTGATTACAAGAGAGAATAAAAAAAAGGTTGGGATGTGTAAAGGGATTAAAAATACAGCCTTACCATAGAACTTAAAGCTAATTACAAATGCTAGCCTATTTTCAAACTACCCCTATTCATTTGGATCTCTGATTTACCAATCATAAGCCTCTAAAAGAAATGGTTAAAATAATCAGCGAGCAAAATGGTACATGCCACATAACTTGGCAGACACAGACCATCCAACAAGACCACCTTCAGCAGTTAAAACTTTTAGTCATACCACCTGTACTGTTGGGTGACTTGGATGACAGCTTATATTCTCTTCCTTTCTTTCACCCAGCCCTCCCTCTCTCTTTCTTTCACTCTCTCAGAGACTCCTCCACCTTCTCCTTACCTCTTCTCTTCCTTTTTCTCTTTCCTTTTTTTCTTTGTTCTAATTTCCCTTTCACTCCTCTGCTTCCCTTCCCTTCTCTCTTCTTTATCCCTATCTATGTTTGTTTCTCAATCTTTCTCCTTCTCTCTCTCTTGTTCCTACTCTCTTTGTACCCTGTTTCTCTGCCTTCCCCTCTTCATGTTGCTCTCTATCTTCTTCATTCTCTTACTCTCTCAATCATTCCTAATCCTACTCTCCTGCTTCAGGTCATTCTTAACAGTATCCCTATGGTAACACCCCATTAGCTGAAATTTTCCTTTTCTTTTACTGCCTCAGTCAGGGATATGTGGTTTTAATTTTGGATAAACCAGGATGCCCTCTCATCTTAAGCCAGAGTTTTTGCTTTAGAGTGATTGTTGGTCCAAGCAGATAATATCTGTCTTTACAAATTCTGCCTCTTCAACATCCTCTGAATTCATTATAAACCTGAGAACTTTGGGGGCAAATCATGGTGAATGGTTAATCCTATTCTTTCTTTCATTCCTAATCCTTCTCTCTCCTATTCTTCTCCATCCTTTACATTGCTCTCTGCATCTCCCTTATTCCTAATCCTTCTCTTTCACACTCTTCAATCCTAACCTTTTTCTACCCTTTCCTTCAATTCCTTACAATACTACTCCTTCTTTCACTCATTCATAATTCTACCTTGCCCCAATATCCTTCACTCTTTATCTTTTTCTTCTCTCTCCCACTACTCTTCATTTCCAACCCTTCTCTTTCCTCCACTCTTTTATCCCTAAACCTATTCTCTCCCTCTAATCTAAATGCCCTCTCCTTCTTTCCTACTTTATGCTCCCCTTTTCTTTCATTCTTAAAGTTATCCTATACACCTACTGGGGTGCCTTTGGGTGAAAGCCATCATATGTTCGATTTCACTCAGTAAGTATTCTTTGGACATCTAAAAACACTCTAGAACATTTAGTAAGTGGTTTTCAACATGTGCACACTGGATAGACCACAAGATGAGCAGTTGAATAAGGGTCCATCACCAAGGACATGTCCATCAGAGAAGTCAAATGAAACCCTAAAGCAAATAGCAGAATGACCATTTCTGAAGGCACATTACTCTGTTTGTTAGGTTGCAGGTTCTTGTGATATGCTACAATTGCTGAGTATATTTAATTGAGTTGAGTAGTAAGAGGATGTGTGTAAAATCCTGCTTCTCAGCACACACATAAACTTTTTTTTTTGTCATTTGCTCTATTTTCCCTGACTAAATTACCAGCTACAAAAAACATTCTTCCTAAACAGGCCCATGAATTGAGGATTTTTTTTAAAAGTGGCATATATGCAGTATAATTAAGGAGAACATTATGTATAATGTCATAACATGGTGTCTTTTCAAGCATGTGTGGATTATTATTATTATTATTATTTAATCAAATAATGCTAAACTGTTATATTATATCTTAACTATTCATCATCAGACTTTTAATTGGATCACTCACATATTATGGCTATGTGAAAATGAAATAAATGAGTGACGTCATCATATCATGACCTAAAGTGCTCTCTCTCCTACACAACACCAACATGATTATCATTCTAATACCAACAGTCCAGCCCTATAATTATAATATGTATGTTTTCATTAGTAATTTTTTTGAGGGGCCAGTGTACAAGATAACTTTAATCC